GGTTGTGATTCTCATTCTAATTAGCAATGACTATGTTTCTTTCATTATAAGAAAAGGTGTATGGTTAGAAGCTGGATTCATATGAATACATTCAGCCACCGGATTGTTGAAGTCGCAGGAATATGTGTATACATATATATCAATGAAAGATGATCATTTGGTTTAGTAATGAAGTGAAATTGTGGGAAAAAAACAATCGCTTGCTCAGAGAGCCTGTTGTTGTCCATGAACGGAGTGGAAACACAAGAGCCTCAAAGTTTAAGCATGTGTCCGGGTGTTTGTTTGTGTTTGTGGGTAAGTCACTGGAGGGGATAAAGAGCCATTGTCTGCAGCTGGTGCATCCCCCTACTCCTTCTCTGTGCAGCTGTGAGGAAATCAAACGCTCTTCTTTTCCTCGTCTCTGCCTCTGTCACAACCTGCTGATGCCTTATTAGGTCATCCATGGTGATGTGTAGTGATGGTTTGTTTAGAGTTGTAGGCCAACCGCCAAGCTGTTACATATGGACCAATATCCTACATGGCACCACCGTGACGTCCGACATCTCTCTGAAATATAAAAACATATATCTTATATAACTTTAATATTTGGATATACTCTTCCATTATTAAGAATGTTAGGACACTTATTGGTTACAATAAGAAAGGACATAAACAGGCCTGTGTGCCATCTGGCAGTATTACTGAAGAACTATCAGAAAGCTGACAATTAAGGCCCTTACTTAACAGAGTCCAACTGTCCTGAAATGCGATGCGGTAAAGCGACAGCTTGGCATGGTCAAAGACCAAACGATATCCGTTAAATAAACCAATCTACAGAATTTTTAAATTCTAGTGAATCTCAGAACCTCCTATCAGAACATCAAGAAAAAAGAATATTCCTGTTCCTGCCAAACGCAAACAGGAACACAGCATCAAGGTAAGAAATATTTCAATTGGATATATTTGTCAAAGCTCATAGGCTAAAGCTTTTTCATTGGAATGAGTGTAAAATAAACACATCAAATGCTATTTAAATAGAAAGTACATTGTTGATGAGCTCTGAATATTAAATCTGATCTTTAGTCTTCATGGTTTTAGCAGGTGTGGCAGCAAACTGCCCAACCCAACATGCTCTGTTCACTTTATTTCCGTCCATGTTAGGGTGTCTGTTTTTTTTTACTGTTTTACTGGTGTGAGTGAGCTTCCCGTTACAGATCTTTGCTAGTGGCTGGGCTGACCCATGTTGCTGCACACCTGAGAACACTTCTCAGTCAAGATGACTAGCGTGTATATAAGGAGGCAAAGGATCATGATTAGCTCTGATAGTATTCCAGCCAAAGACCTAATTAAAGTAATATATTCCTTGTAATAGAAGTTCTTACCTGTGTGTAGCAGTTCTCAGCCTTCGTCACCCTGCTTTTCCTCTCCCCAGCACAATGTTTTTTTGCAAGTACCACACCAAGATGGACCTTTGAGGTACAATCTGCAAAGCCTGCTAACTCGAATACTTGCAGATCCAAGCAACCTCTCCTTATCTCCCTCCATTTTTCCATTTTGCGTCCACTTATCCTTCCTGGGGTTGCGAGGGGTGCTGGTGCCTATCTCCCGCTGTCAATGGGCAAGAGGCAGGGTACACCCTGGACAGGTTGCCAGTCCATGGCAGAGCAACACTGAAACAAACAGAACAAACAACCATACCTGTAAACACTCACACCTAAGGAGGATTAGAGAAGCCAATTAACTTACTAGTCGTGTATATGGACTGTGGGAGGAATCCGGAGTACCTGGAGAGAACCCACGCATACTTAGGGAAAATATGCAAACTCCATGCAGAAAGACCCCAGGCCGGAAATCAAACTCACAATCTTCTTGCTTCAGCAGTGCTACTCACTGTGCAGCCTCCTTCTTCTCTTAAGTAAGGCAAATCAAACAGTTGTAATCAAGCAACTCCATCCTGATCAGCCTGCTTTCTCCCCTCAGACTAACCAGAAAGTTACAACTGACTCATCCGCACTTCAATATTCTTGTTTGCTATTTATAAATAAAATGTTAAAATTCACTTGTTGTCTGTGTGATTCTTCATGCAGGTCAAAACACTACAAACCTAATAACAAATAGTCGCCAGCAGGTAATCATTCAGAACTACTTTCTTTGCAACCGGTATGAACTACTTAAGTATAAATGAAAACAAATGTCATATAATGTTACGACTTTTATGGACTATTTTCTCTCAAATGTTTTGTACATATCCTACAAACCTGAGCTCCACAGATTATATCCGCATCTCAGATTTTGTCGTACTTTTTTTTTTTTTTTTTTACTAACCTTGTTGAAGTACTTCATTACAAACTTTTTTAAAAACCTTTTTTTCCCCTAAAAGGATTTTACTAGTCCTATACTGCCTTAAGATGTATGCAAAAATCTAAAATCATCATTTAGCATTGTTTGAAGCTTGGACAAATGTATAAAATGTTTTTTTTTTTCTTCACTGTGGCTTGAACTTCTGTTTTTGATATTGATATTTCTAAGAAACATGGAATGCCGTGTTGGAAAATTAAAGTTTAAACTTCAGAGAACTAACCATATGCAGATTATCTCAAATTAGTTCAGTCATAACTCTGCAAACATTAGACTTACAGTGTTTTATATGGCTCTTTCAGCCTTTGTTAGCTTTAGGTCATTTTTCGCCCCCCCAAAAAAATATATATTTGGCCAAAACCAAATATTAGAAGTGTGGCCCTTTGATCCGATTTACTAAAAAATTCATACAGCTTTTCACTTCTTTCATTCTTTACAACTTTTTTATTCAACCACTTTTAATATTTATACCCCTTTGTGATCCTTAGACAAAAGGAAATCTTTTAAAAATACTCAAAGATATTTGCTGTTAAAGTGAAAACAGTTGTGCCAAATAATCAAGTTGTTTATATTTGGATATAAGTTCTATAAAAAACAAAAAAACAACAACATTTACCTTAGATATTTTATGTAAACATGAAAAATAGATTGAAAATCTAAAAATGGAAGTTTTGTAAATAATAAAGATTTGAAATAAAAAAAATAACCTATTTTTAAGTCCACATTAGTATAACTGTTGTGATGGATAAACACCGTAATGTTCCGCTATACAATGTGATCATAAGGTATTACTCACCGAATCATCTGAAGAGGATGCAGCAGGAAAAAAACAACAACAATTTGATTATGTGATTTGTTCTTTTATTGTATAGAATCAAGGCTAGCTCTCAGAGAAAAAATTTCCAGTAATTTATTTTAGAGTGTAACATGTGGAGGTGTGTGGAGTGGGTGGTGAGAGAGAGTGTGTTCTAATTTCTATAGAAGAACTGGTAATTGTGCAGGTAAGTAAATGCCCACTGTTTATTTTCTTTTTGTTGGGATTTACTAAAAAAAAATGCATTGAGAGCAAATTGGGAATGGAGCTGTAGTTGTACATTCAGCCACCTGTGAAAATAAACACGTAGAACTTTATTGATCTCATATTGGAGTAAATTACCTCTGCATTTAACCCATCCACTTGGGGAGCAGTGGGCTGCCATCATGTGGCAGCCGGGGAGACCCAGAGAGGCAGACTGTGGGGATTGAACCAGGTACTTGCAACCCTCAGAGCACAGGCACACTACTCTAACCCCTAGGCCAACACTCCCCTAACAAGTCAGATAAGTAGTTTGTTTCTTTTGTTGTAAATCTAAGAAAGTGTATGTCATGTGGAAAGGTAAACTAGCATGTAATACAGGTGCTTACAGTGAAGCAGAGATGGGAAGCTTATCTTTCCCCCGAAAGTTGATCAAAAGCCTTCCCAAATCATGATGATACCACCACCTAATTTAAAGATGGGAACTGTTCCTGTACACAAGATACTGTACATAAGATACTGTATATATGTCACCTTTAATCTCTCCTTCTTTATTTTTTACCATCCACTGTATATACGTCATGCACCTTTTCCTCCTTTGTGCACCTTCTGTTTGTTTATGCCGATGTCACAAGTGAATTTCTCCATTGCGAGATCAATAAAGTTCTATTCTATTCTAAACTCAGGCTGATGAGCAGTTTTGCACCATGCACCATTTTGCATGTACGCTAAAATGGAAAAAGTAAGAACTCAGACATTTGGTAAATGGCATGTACTTATATAGCGCCTTTATTCAAGTTAGGAGACTTGACCAAAGCGCTTTACACTACATTCATTCACCCATTCACACACACACTAATGGTGGCAAGCTACATTGTAGCCACAGCTGCCCTGGGGCTCACTGACAGAAGCGAGGCTGCCGTACACTGGCGCCACCGGGCCCTCTGACCACCATCAGTAGACAATGCAGGTGAAGTGTCTTGCCCAAGGACACAACGACAATGAAAGTCGGATTACAGGGCAAACTCCTACATCCAACGCCACTGTCGCCCTATTTAACAACTCTTTACCAATCTTCTGTAGATGGCAGATAGATGGAGTGCAGGAATCATGTCTTCTGCTTCCCCACTAGAGCAGCTCCTCTCTGGCTGCCTTTTCAGTAAATCTTTTCCTTGCACCCTCTGTCAAATGAAGTAGTCATGTTTTATTAGCTTTACCACACTTGTTTTCTATCTCAGAGTCAAATAAATTATGCAGTGCAATGAGATGCTGAATGGTTGGGACATTTTTTTCACAAAAGCCAGATTTCTGCAATGCATGACATAGTCTGCACATTCCCATACCTAAGCTTTTATTTATTTATTATCAAATTATGCAAAATAAGGTCATCCTGACACTAAGATTTCTAAATGTTTTTTAGAAGATGAATAAAGTGTTGTTGTTTTTTATCCAATTGGGTCAGTTTATAAATATATTATTACCAATGTGTGCCTTGATGATAAGAAGCATGAATCAGGTTATAATCTCTGAGTTTATTCAGTTAAACCTCCCGGTGTCTATGAATGAATGGATGGAGGGGTAAAGTCTTTTGAATCTCTGCACCTTTAAATTTCTCAGCTCCTCCCTCTTCTCAGTGACAAGCCTGCAGAGCTTCTTCTTTAATGCATCCAGAGGAAATGACAAACCAGAGGCGCTCTGTGGCCAGGCATGTCAAATAATAACACCGATCCTGGGCTTTAGTCTCAACCCGAAACTCAGAGGAGAAAGGCGGCAGCTGGACATCTGCGAGGCCGCTGGTGACTCTGCGGACGCTGGAGCGGACCCACTGAATGGACGTCGATGGACTGGACTGACGTCCGCTTCAATCGGACCGAACCTGGGAGCCAAACAGAGATCTGCATGTCCAAGTTTCCTGTTCCGAGCAGAGGGAGATCGCCGTGTGCTTTTTGGATGCGTGTGGGTGCGCGGCGCCCGCAGGAGCGGCGGTGATCCTGGAGGTGTCCGCGGGAAGCCAAGTTTAGCTCCGTGATTTTATTTTTTAATTTTTTGTTTGTTTTTTTAACGTTTCCTTTCCTTCAACTCTTGTGTTGCTATCATGTCCCATAAGCGGACAGGTGGGTTAACGTTTCCCCGATGAAAACGGAGCAGCTGTGCAGAGGCTCAGTGATCGTGACTGTGAAGATGATGTCGAGTAAGAGCGTGGAGTGGCTGCAGGACGAGCTGGAGTCCGGGGCAGGCGCGCTGCTGCTGCTTGACTGCAGAGCGCACGAGTTGTACGAGTCCTCTCACATCGAGTCCGCCATCAACCTGGCCATCCCGGGCCTCATGCTGCGGAGGCTGAAGAAAGGCAACCTGCCCATCCGCTCCATCATCCCCAACAACGAGGACAAGGAGAAGTTCGTCAAGCGGTGCAAGACGGACGTGGTTCTGCTGTACGACGAGGCGACGTCGGAGCGACACGAGTCCGCGCTGGGGAGCTCCGTGATGGGGCTGCTGCTGCAAAAGCTGCGGGACGACGGCTGCAAAGCTTTCTATCTGGAGGGTAAATTCACTCAGCTCATAATAATAGTGACATTTCTCTAATAGTTTAAGTTTCAGAAAACACATATGTACCTAAACCCTTATTATGAATATAATTAGATCTGCAACTTGAAGATATAATTAAGTCTGATAATTATTAAGTGCAGTAAACTGTCTTCAAACTTCTAAAATAAAAAAATCCTAATATAGGCTACTTGTAAACTAAAACCACCAGGGAGAGCGTTTCCTCTTTTTATTTACGGATAAAACCCGCCATGTTGGGCTCCTTCAGGGAAATATGAGCATTTTTTTCATGAATGAAGAGTGAAACCAGGACACAGAGGCGCTCTTTTGATCCATTCCTTGACTGTATTAAAGTAAACGCAGCCGACGGGTAAACCGGAGTAGATCTGAGTGTCTTGTGAGCCGTGGATGATGGATCAGTTGGACGGGAAGTCACAAGCATGGCTGCCATTCACAAAAAGTCCACTGAGCTGTGAAGTGTTGCTGCCGAGCCTGATTCTCCGTAGGGCGCAGCTGTTCTCAATGGAGCGCGTCTGTGCGCCTTTCTTCCTGCTCATTCCCCACTAAATGACACGTTATTACCATTCATCTGTCTGATCACTGTGCAAAAAAACCTTGCATGAAGGTAGGTGAGAAACATCTGTGCTGTCAGGAAAGATACACCGTTTTATTATTATAATTTGCTTCAAAATCTTGAAAAAATATGTATATAAATATTTAATAAGGTACTGTCAAGGTCTGCGTGGGATAAATACATTTAGTTCAGAGAGTTGTTTAAGTAAAAGATATTCAAAAATCCCAATTTTAAAAATAAAATATCTTTACATTATTTTATTTTGAAATGTAATTGTTTTTTTTCTAAATTGGTCATTTGTTGATCAGATTTTTCCAGGCAAGTTTTTTTATTTTTTTTATTTTGTTAGATATGATGTTAGTTAAAACAGTCCATTCAATTGATGGTTTATGAAGAATATGGATAAGAAAACTCTAAAACGGTGAATATTATAGGCTCAGGAGATCAGTGATTTGTAAAGTCTGACATCTTTGTTTGATTTGAGCCATTTACTTAGTTTATTATCATGATTTATTTATAAGAATAATTGTTTGGATAGGTGTGATCATTTCTACAAAAAAATGAAGGGATTACAAGATAATCCTCATGTACGCATTGCAGCATATGTTCCTAAATGATAAATAAAAGGACTGTTTATATTGTGCTACTCTGGTCACCAACCCTTCAAACCCCTCAAACTAAAGCCACATTCACTCAGTCACACTCATCCATGCACACCGATTCGTACACAGGTGTGCAGATTAGCAGGTAGCTTATGTTTACTGCCTTGCTCAGATGCAGATGGAGCTCTGACAGTGGGAAACTGGAAACAAGCTCGCAACCTTCTAGTTGTACGATGACGACTCCACCCACTTAGCTGCTGTCACCCCTCTGACCATTATCTGTTTATTCCTTATCATAAAACTACTTTAAAGAACATGATGTTCTGATCTCTGGCCAGCTGATTGGTGCTTCAGTCGAATCATTTTAGGTTAAAGACTGAGAAACTATAAATATACGTACGTCAAAAGAAAACGGATGTTTTACTGCTTTATGGCCTTGAAGTCCTGTCAGTTCATGGTTTTAAACTGGACTGATGTTTCTTTAAATGGCCCAAACATCATTTAAATTGTATTTTTTCATTTTCACAAACAAAGATAACTGTATTAAACTTCACAGACTTTGACAAAAACAACCACTGGTCGGTTTATGTTAATTCAACCCACATCTGTCTGGTTACATCTGCTGAAGAGCACTTTGAAATGAAAAGCTTAATCATTGTCTGATGACTTGTGAAACACACAGATAACACTATTTAACATAGTTTGGATTCCAAGAATGTTATGAAATTTGACAGATAATCTTAAAAATATAAGTCTGAAAATGTCTGAAATGCTTAAAAAAAGCATGTTAACCTAATGCTATGAATAAAAAGTCCCTGTTATTGCCATTTCTCTTTTTCTTTTTAGATAAACATGTCAGGTAAACCAGAAATTATGCTTTCTGTACTGAATTACTGAACTAATTACCTTTTTATGTATTTAGATGCACCATTGTTAGTACTGCTTAAAGACAAGCTGAGTATATTCCACAGTCCAGACTGCTGAGAGGGATTATAGCCACAGGTTTTCTAACAGGTCTGAGGATCTAATACCTGGTTAGCTCACCTGGCTCTGAGTTGACATGTGTTGATGTGCTTGCACATTACTCTGAGAAGTAATCATAATTGAACTTTATTGATCTCACATTGGAGAATTTTTCCTCTGCATTTAACCCATCCCCTTCCTAGGGGATCAACAAAGTAAGGGCGTGCAAGGTCAAAGGCTGTTTAAAAAAAGAGAGGTTAAATATTTCTTAAGGAGTTGAAAATGGAATTATAGACATTTAAAATAACATCCTCCAAAGTGATCTCTAAAAAGAAGGATTGCATATGAAAACTGGATGCATTTCTACGGGTCTTTGGAAGAGGAATGTTTTGTATTTTACTCTTAAAGAAAATGAAAAACCTACTCCTTAGTTCTGCAGAATGATTAGGCTGTTAAAGGTAATTACATCTGTTAATGGAAAAAAAATCTACATATATTTTCATTATTTCCTGTATTTTTTTTTTTCTGTTTTTTTTTTTCATCTTTAGGAGGCTTCAATAAATTCCAGTCAGAGTATCCGGAACACTGCGAAACCAATCTGGACTGCTCATGTCCCAGCAGCTCCCCGCCAGCCTCGGTCCTGGGGCTAGGAGGACTTCGCATTAGCTCGGACTGCTCGGACGGAGAGTCTGACCGCGAACCGAGCAGCGCCACAGAATCTGAGGGTAGCCCGCTTCCGAACAACCAGCCTGCCTTCCCTGTCCAGATCCTGCCGTACCTTTACCTGGGCTGTGCCAAAGACTCTGCAAACCTGGATGTGCTCAGCAAGTACAACATAAAGTACATCCTGAATGTCACGCCCAACCTGCCCAACATGTTCGAGCACGAGGGAGACTTCAAGTACAAACAGATCCCCATCTCTGATCACTGGAGCCAGAACCTCTCGCAGTTTTTCCCTGAGGCCATTTCATTTATCGGTAAGTGGAGGCAGAGCTCCTGCTCTTTATCAGGTGTGCTGGAAAGCCCAAAGGCGTGGACACATTCAGCTGTTTATTCTGAATGAGCAGGTGTGGCCAAAATCCAGAAAAGTTACTGTAAGTCAGAATTACTTTTAAGGATATGAGGATTACATATCTATTTATTGTTCACATTTATGGGCTTAAAATTGTATCCGCTGACGTCTGAAGTCACTGCCCCATCAAGACTTCAGAAAGCTGTTTGTTTTGTGCCAGTTTGGGCTTGAATCTGGCTCAGCAGGTCGGATTTGCAGGGTGAAAGTTCATCACAGCATAAAGAATAAATCCCATCCCTTTATCTTTATTCCTCTGCTTTATACGTAATGCCCCTGGCCCACTTCCAGATGTTTGATTGAGCTGAAATTTTGCATTTGAAGTATATTAAATCTCTATAGATTAAATTGCAAATTACAGCTCTGAACTAATTGTGGTTTCTGATTTACTGCTGTTAAAACTGAGTCAAGTCTGAGTTTTGCATTTGAAAGGACACACAAAATGGGAGATTTTTGATCAAATGAAAGTAACTTATAGTGATAATGTTCCATAATATAACCTTGTAAAACATTTTGCAAGGTCATATAACGGGCATCATCACCATAAGTTACTTTAATTTAATCAAAAGTCTTCCGTTGTGCGAGTCCTTCCAATAGAAAAACCGGATCACTGCTCGATACTCGACAGGCTCCATTTCAGACTTTACTCAGTTCAAACACCTGTAAGTCAGAAACCACAAATAGTTCAGAGCTGCAATTTGCTACTTAATCTATAGAGATTTAAATAACGTCACATGCAAAATTTCAGCTCGATCAAACATCTGGAAGCGGTTCAGGGGCATTACTTAATTAAATTGCTCATAACTCTTAACATTAGATCATCCCAAATTCACGCATCCATGAAAAGAAAAAGATCCTATCTTTGTTGTAGGTGATCCTTTTATTTTCTTTTTTAGAAACACCTAAATATTCCTGAAAGTTATACAACACTTGGAGAAAACTGTGCTGCTGATGATGTATCTAAGAATTGATGGTCTAAAATTAATACATAGAAGCAGCAGTTCAAACATTTCTCTCTGAAAATGTTAGGAGAATGGAAATGACCTCACCATGGAAATGGGGTTTAATGCTCTCAGTAGTCATATACAATGTGTTGCCTTCCAGATCTATGCCAGTCAAAATGAACTTATTGGTGTAAATTTACAAACCGATGGACTTAAATTCAGTGTTAAGTTGTGCTGTACATTTACCTTATTTTTGTTTTAGGTCTAATTGGCACCTAAAAATATCCAACAATCAAATCTTTTTAAATAAAGATTCATAGTTGAGTTTTTTTCTGCACCTTCTTAAAGCAGCTGCAAATAAAATGTCTTTAGACCATTTTTGGTATTTTAGTGGGTAGAGTTCTACATCAGGACAACATTTGTCAGCTCCAGCATCTTAGTCACTATAAAAATACACACGTTTACATCCATAGTTTCTAAAATGTTACATCCAAGTAGGGCTGAAACAATTAATTAGATTAATTGTGATTAATCAATTATTAAAATAATCTTCAACAAATTTAGCAACTGATTAATCGTTAACTGGAGTGTAGAGACTCTAAAACGTGCAATTAGCTGACAGTGACCCACTTAGAGCAGTAATTATACCAAAATTGTAAAAAAAAAAAAAAAAAAAAAAAAAAAAAAAAATATATATATATATATATATATATATATATATATATATATATATATAATTTTGCTTTTAAGATAAAAAAAAGTATGTTCTATCCAGATATCATCAAAAAAAAAAAAAATAACATGGATGGTTAGCTAGATAAATAGGAATAGAATTAAGGATGCAGCTCAGTTTTGCTAATCGTTTATTCTGTTGTTTTTTGTTTTTTTTTTTATTAATCAGCTAGAAAAATAATAATAATTTGCAGCCTGTCATTCAAGTTTTTTCTTTTTTCTTTTCAGTTTTGCGCACATTAAGCTGATGAATGAGATCATAACATTAAGTTATTTGAAGCAGCAAACATACTGGACTCCAACAGGGTCTATAAAACTCTGAAATTTGATTTAAGCATTGTTCAGGTTTCTATAAGTCCGCAAAATAAAATCAAAATATGAAAAAAAAAAAAAATAAAATCACTTAATTCAGGGTCCCATCAATCCATTTATACCCACCTGTATTCACCCACCCAACTGACTGGGATCCATCTCATTCTTCCCATCGGTTCCTATTTATCCATCAGCAAGCCATCTATTCATTTTTTTATCTCCCAGTTTTCTTAGTTTTTGTTCTTTTTGGTATATTTTGGATTTAAAGCTTTTAAGGAATATCAGCTGTTTATTTATGTAGAATTTTCTTGTTTATAGATCAAGAAAATGGCTCAGAACTCTGTAGAAAAACTTCTAGAATACATCAACAAAGTAAAAAAAAAAAAGAAAAAAAAAGACTTTACTTGATTCAATAATCTTCACAAGGCTCTGGATTGCCTCTATAAAATTGAATCCCAAAGTAAAGTGAAATATGTATGTTTTGGTAGCTATGTGAATGGATGCCCACATCCATTCACTATATTCTCTGGGAATGAATGAATTCTACAGGCTTTCTTTTTTTCTTTTAAACGTATGAATCTGCTTTGGTGGAAGTAGGCGTGACATATGCCAGACCAGGAGGTTGTGGCAGATTTGGGTCATACTGATGTTAAATGGAGCTGTGTGACCAGCTGTAGAACGCAGGGATTACATCAGATCATTTCAGTTATAGCAGGGTAATAATGCAGACATGGCTATGAAAGATTCGTAACGCTGGAAAGGTAGAAATTCATTGAAGGATTTAAAGAAATTGCTAGATTTTTATGAAAGACAATAGAAATAGAGAGGAGTTTGTATCTTGGGCGGTTAAAAATCTTAATAAATGGAGGATTCTGGTCGTGTTTTTAAAGCAGCTGTAATGCAGCCCAGCCCACAGATCCGCTCCAGGAGATTAACTCTATATTTGTTCTCATTCTGAGCCTTGTAGGGTTAAGATAAATATACTAATTATTATTTTCACACCCCTTTTCTTTCTTTCTATTTTTTTTTTTTACATTATGCAATTTTGGCACGTGTGTCATATAAATTTAATTTGGCATCAGCTCGCCTGCCTGAGTTCGTGAGCCAACTGACCTCAATCCTCCAACTGGAGATGCAGTCAGTGAGAGCGAGAAGAGGCTGACAGAAAGGAAGGAAAGAAGCACTTAACTCTCGCTCTAATGGCCTCTGGATGTGAGTGCAAGGGCTCGAAACTGATAGGTGGATGGGTGCAGCCGCTTAATAATGTAGGACCCACTTTTCTTCAGTTTGCTTTAAAAAGAGAGCTGGAAGGGAACCCACGCTCTGTCCATTGAGGAAAGCTATTGGTAGTTGTATGTGTTAGATATGAAATATTAATTTAAATTAATAATTAGGCCATTTTATTTTAGAGGACCATATGTGTTTGTTGTCTCATTTATCCACTGATGTGTAGTAAAACCTGTCCTCTCTAATAGAGGGGATATAACACTATATGCCTATCAGAAATGTCCCATTAAGTCTAAATATTTACTAAAAATCTACAAACTGGAAACAGTTTGATGTTTACACAGTTTGTTAGAAGCTAAATGTATCAAAAATATTTATTTTAGTCAAAATAAATAAAGCCAAAAAATGAAAATATTTGAATTAATAACATAATTATTTGTTTCTATTGATCTTATTGTTTGTTAGTTAGGGAATTACTTGCTTGGTTAATCCAAAAAAGTAAAAAAAAAAAATCCACTGGAATTGAAGACATTTAGCTTCCTTTCTAGGAAGCTAAATGTCAGAAATGGAGAATATTGTTTGGATTTCAATGTATAAATGTAAGTCCTTGGTGTTAAAGTAATCCGATTTTCTTGGTTTTCTCTCTCTTTGTTTTTTCTTTATCTTCTTACCCACCCCTTCACCGTGACTAGATGAGGCTCGTTCCAAAAAATGTGGCATCCTGGTGCACTGCCTGGCCGGGATCAGCCGTTCAGTCACCGTCACCGTGGCCTACCTGATGCAGAAGCTCAACCTGTCGCTAAACGACGCCTACGACTTCGTAAAGCGGAAAAAGTCCAACATTTCCCCCAACTTCAACTTCATGGGCCAGCTCCTGGACTTCGAGCGGACGCTGGGCCTCAACAGCCCCTGTGACAACCGCTCCACCTCCCCGCCGCACGACCAGCTCTTCTTTACCACCCCGACCAATCACAACGTGTTTCAGCTGGACACTCTGGAGTCCACTTGAAAGACTGACTCGAGACTGTCCCCCACCACCTCTCTATTTTTCAAAGAGGTAGGAGGTAACAAGCGGCTGCACTTGGAGAAAAGCAGCCGGTTTTATTGAAAGTTTTCGCCTCTTCGGGCCCCTCGTCATAGAGTTTGGGCGCAGAGCTGCTCTAGAGCGATGGAAGGGGTCAACGGAGCTAAGCGAAGGAGATGTGAGGGAGTTTCTTTAACCCAAGGCAGTGAACTGTGGGTTTACACCTGAGCTGTTGTTAAAACCCTGCCTCCACTGAGTTGACTGACTGGCCACAGAAAAACGGAAAGCTTAATACAAAGATAGGAACATAGAGGATCCACAGAGAAGCTGCTGGCATGCTGAGCTTGGCGGCGTCTCACGGAGAATCTGTGATTCACTCGCTCTACTGAGTGTAGAGCGTTTTCTAAAACCAAGGAATTAACACACACTTAAAATAAGTATGTAAGTTTGTACTGTATGTATGGTAACGTACATAGCAGAACATCTATGAGAAGTCCTTAACAAATTCAATATATGTATATGCATTTTTTTTATATTTTTATGTACATTTACGCACAGATCTGTACCTTTATATAATTATATACTCTTTATCTTTGTCCAAAACAAAGTGAATCAATCTTAAAACTGATTTAAGAGACTGTAAGACTAAAGAAAAGGAAAGTTTTTTTGTTGTTTTTATTCTAAGTCGTCTTTAATTTTTAATGACATTATGCAGTTTGCACAGTGGTGTAGCCGTAGACGTGCTGGCACTTGATAAAGAGACATTCAGAGAGCAGAAGGAGCAGGCAGAGAGGCTAGTCCCAGCCTGCGACAAGCCCTGACAGCTGCACGGTGCCATGGGGAGGGAACAGGGACCTGGAGTCCCTAACAGAGGCCTCTAAGGTCGGGGTCTGGGCTGGAAGTGTGCAGATCCCTTATCCCCCCCCCAACATCTCACTGTCCCCTCAGCTGCAGATAAGGAGCTACAGGCTTTTTCCACCAGTTTATCCTTAAAACCTTAGTTATTTCAGTTTGAAACCAAACTCTGAACTTCTTTCGTTATTGCATCACAGCTGCTGTCTAACAAGCTTGTTTTGCCAAAACTGGTTCCTGCCAGCTCAGACTTCTTTTTTTTTTTCTCCTTTCGAGAAATTTCACTGAGAGGTTAGTGCCGACAGGAGAGCATATGGAGGAAGTTGTTTCCATTTTTAAAAAAAACTTCTAGGGCACCATACCTAACGGGGCCCACATTTGCCAAAAAAGGAGAGCAGGAAGAAGGACTGTGGGTGTAATCTGGTGTTTGTGCTGCAGACTGGGACTGGCCTCTGACAGACTGCATTTACTGTCCCTTAACTGCATTAGGGGGCAGCTAAGTAAGGATCACCCATTTCATTATAGGTAGTTTTAAGCCTTGTTTAAGAAAGAGAGAAATATTAATAATGAAAAAGGGAATTTATATATAAAGTTATTAATCAAATGAATCTTATTTTGTATACCTGAGCATGCTGTGGTGCTGTGTGCTCTCTTAACAGTCTCTGTAACCAAGGGTTGGATGTTGCTTTAATATATTGGAGGACTTTGTTGTTTTTCTTGGCTGTTGTCGCCGATCACGACAGCATGCAGTATAAGCTATAGATGGCTTTCTGTGACAATGTGCACATCTGCCGCTCATGCAGGAAGTGTTGAAGTCAGATAAAATAAAAAGCAAAGAATTCTGCAATAATTCGGAGCAGAAACTCCAAAACAAGTGGCTCAACTTTGCCTTTTTGCCTGCAAATTATTTTCCCAGTCAGTTTGAACAATGGGTAACGCCTTAGCATTCACTCAGTTTAAGGTCTTAATATTATCCACTTATATTTACAATTAGACCAAACTAAAGCAGATGTTTCAGCTCTAGCTTTTAATCAACCAAATGTCAAACCACAGCTTTTATTTTACCAGGGGGTAAATAGCCTGATTTATCACACCTATTATCTTGATGCCAAATAGAGCTAAAACCAGGCAATCATGTTTTTTGTTTTGTTTTTTAAAGCTAAAGAAAATGGGTCAAGTTGTGGTAGACTGATCCTAGTCACTCTGATTATCTTTAGAGAAGCACCAATCTGGCATTTCATGCCTATTTCAAATTTCTGATTCCTTTGAGGTCAAGCTTGCAATTTCCAAATTGGACAAATTATGTAAATTTGTACTGGAATAATGGTTTATTAAAAATGAAAATTAATGAAAAAAATTTTTTTCTATCTAGTTTCCCCACATTGATTGTGACCAGTTTTCCACCTCCTTTAGAAAACAGCTCAAGTGTGATCCTATCACCATCAGGTTTCATGGAATAGAAAAATTTTCTCCTGTACAGTGGCTTTATTTCAATCTGCTTCACACATAACAGGATAATGAGGTTAGACTGTACATGGGAATGGAAACAAGCTGACCCTGAACAATCTATTGTTTATATTTCAGATTTAAAGTCTTCAGTATAAAAGTAACGGGTTGTAGACCTACATTAACAGTTAGTTTGTACAGTCGGGTCACTTCTGTGTTTGCAATTGACAATGCAACATTTCTAAAGTGAAAAGAAAACTGGCTTCACAATCTCAAAGACATGAGAAAACAAATCTTAATTTGTTATTTTTTTCCAAGTCGCTTGGCTTTTTTGTTATCCTTTTGTTTAAATTTAATGTTTAAATTTGTTTGTTTAAATTTTAAGTTTTGTTTTTTTTTATTACGTCAATATCAAACTTGAGGTTATTTCTCAGTTTCGGATTTACTTAATAAGAAGTAAAATTGAACCAGTACTCTTTGTTGATAATTTTCCAGCAAATCACATATCAGAGCTGATTTAAAAAAAAAAAACATAATCCTCTCTCTGGTCTGACCAAAAGGTGCATCAGAACTTATTTTCTATTAGTCGATCATTTCAAGACATTTTCTAAAAGTAAAGCATAAAAACAATTTAATTAAAAGGAATCAGAAATACATCTCATTGAAGACCTGTATCCAACATAAATAGATGTATAAATAATACCAATGATTGGTTCTCAAAGTGCAGATGTTGACGAGGTCTTAACAGAAACAAAGGTCCGGGTCTTTGTATGAACAGCAGTTGGATCTCCGTTGGTTCAGGCTGGCCTTATATAATCTTTCTAACATGTTTCTAATGCTGACTGTTCATTTCTCTTGTAATCACACTTCTTTTCTGTGTTTTCTGACTAGAAACCCGATAATAGTAGATGGGGCATGCTGCCTTCTTACCGCAACGGGTCACATGAGGTCCTCTTTGTAACTGCAATATATCAGAACACCTTGTTTTGCAGAATTTTGTACATGTAAGACCTCAAAGTTTTTAATTCGCTCTCTTTTTGTATGATATGTGCTCTGTCAAACTGTTTAAGATCCAACTGGAATATTAGCTTTTTGGCTGAAGTAACATTTCAAGTATGTCCAACATAGGGGCCATTGCAAACACACACATCCAAAGCATTACACAGCCACAGCTGTGCTATAGCATGCCAGTATTTGTCTCAACACTCGGCTTAAATAGTTACAAGGGTTTTGTTTTTCCTTATGTTTTGATATCATGTTCTCTATGCTATTCCTGTGGCCTTTCAATATGAATATACTGTATAATCTCAGTATATGTATACGTTCTGAATTTATATGCAAAGTTCCTCTCATATTACTTAAACAATACGACTGAGGTTCCTTGTTTGGATTCACGTCCAATATACGATGAAACAATAAGCAGCGAGAACTTGATCATTTGCACCCAATGACTGATACGTATTTCACGGCGCAGCTTTTCTTTCTAAACAGAACATGGTTTATTGTAAGCTGCTTTTTTTCCTGTGGGGAGGGGGGGGTCGTGTTTCTAACATCAAAAGAGAAACTGAGTCATTTTCTCTGTTTGTAAATATGCCAGATATCGGGAACGAACGTTTCTGTGTCTTCAAACTTGTAGCTGCAGTATATGTGATTGCGAGAGGAAGGTGGTTTAAAACCGAGAGGAAGGAGGCGGTGGCACGGTGAAACAGAGTGAAACAAGAAGTGAACGGTTTGATAAATGTTACCTCAGTGAGGAATTCTTCAGGGACATTTTTTTTTTCTTTTTAGACAATGCATCTCACGTCACGTTACAGCTTAAAAGTCACGTTGAATAGCTGTTTTACTTTGTGCTGTAAAAAAAAGAAGAAAAGATGCAATCTGTCTCTATATAAAAATGATTGGGCACATTAACCAGGGCAGTTTCACCTTTCTGTCTACGGAGAGAAATATGACTGACCCTACGTATTGTACAGTGTATGGAGGCAACTCCAGTATTGTTTATACAGCGAATAAATCTTGAAATATTTTTTTTCTTTAATGTGTTTTCTTGTTATTTCTGAACATGTGACTTATGTTCGAATATTTAAACAGTTTATACCAGAAAAAAACAGATCCCTTTAAGTGTTCACATTTAATTGTAACCTTTCCACTGCTTTCTAGCCTTCCATTCAGTGTATATGAACAGTAAATGTGCACGTAAAATGAGGGCAGCAAGGGAGAGAGAACAAGACAGCAAGGAAGTGAGAGGAGGAAAAAGAGCTTCCAAAAGACATCACCATGAGATGAGCTGACTATAAATATCTCAGCTCTTCTAGTCTCTTCCAGCAATCCGCTCTTCTTCTTCTTCCCACTACAACTGCACGCTTTCGCTTTGGCAATGAATTCGGCTGTTGTGCAACCAAAGTGAGCTGTTTAATTCATAGTGGACATTACAGTGACAGTGGGGGTGAAATAAAGGAAATGAAAGCCCCACCCTGTTTGAACAGCACTAGAAGCAGAAGTATTGGCTTTCAAGGCAATAGAGTTTAAGACTTTCCCACACGTTTATCTTAATGTATCCATGCAATAGGAAATGTTTCCAATGTCATTTTCAATAGTACTATTTCAATTAATATTTTAGGCTGGATAACAAAAAAATAAAATAAAAGCAAATGCATCAGAGCTCTTGATGCATATTTCACACACTTGCAAAACAAAAAAAGTTAAATATTAAGATATCCTTCCTGAACAGTAGGATGGCTGGATATTCACATGCAAGAATTTGAAAGTTATATCTAATTTTGAAAGGGGCAATATTTTGGATGTATGGCCACAAAAAAGGAATACCTCTATTTTTACTTAAATTTAGGACTAAAACATTCAGATTAATTGTGATTGATTGATGAAATAATCTTAAACTAATTTAGTAATCCTTAACTGGGGTGTCGACTCTAAACCATGCCTTTAACTGACAGAGCAACCCACTTAGAGCAGTAAGTATATCAAAATTGTACTAAAAAATATACACTATATTGCCAAAAGTATTTGCTCACCCATCCAAATTATTGGAATCAGGTGTTCCAATCACTTCCATGGCCACAGGTGTATAAATTCAAGCACCTAGGCATGCAGACTGTTTTTACAAACATTTGTGAAAGAATGGGTCGCTCTCAGGAGCTCAGTGAATTCCAGCGTGGAACTGTGATAGGATGCCACCTGTGCAACAAATCCAGTCGTGAAATTTCCTCGCTCCTAAATATTCCACAGTCAACTGTCAGCTGTATTATAAGAAAATGGAAGTGTTTGGGAACGACAGCAACTCAGCCACGAAGAGGTAGGCCACGTAAACTGACGGAGCGGGGTCAGCGGATGCTGACGCGCATAGTGCGAAGAGGTCGCCAACTTTCTGCAGAGTCAATCACTACAGACCTCCAAACTTCATGTGGCCTTCAGATTAGCTCAAGAACAGTGCGCAGAGAGCTTCATGGAATGGGTTTCCATGGTCGAGCAGCTGCATCCAAGCCATACATCACCAAGTGCAATGCAAAGCGTCGGATGCGGTGGTGTAAAGCACGCCGCCACTGGACTCTAGAGCAGTGGAGACGCGTTCTCTGGAGTGACGAATCGCGCTTCTCCATCTGGCAATCTGATGGACGGGTCTGGGTTTGGCGGTTGCCAGGAGAACGGTACTTGTCTGACTGCATTGTGCCAAGTGTAAAGTTTGGTGGAGGGGGGATTATGGTGTGGGGTTGTTTTTCAGGAGCTGGGCTTGGCCCCTTAGTTCCAGTGAAAGGAACTCTGAATGCTTCAGCATACCAAGACATTTTGGACAATTCCATGCTCCCAACTTTGTGGGAACAGTTTGGAGCTGGCCCCTTCCTCTTCCAACATGACTGTGCACCAGTGCACAAAGCAAGGTCCATAAAGACATGGATGACAGAGTCTGGTGTGGATGAACTTGACTGGCCTGCACAGAGTCCTGACCTCAACCCGATAGAACACCTTTGGGATGAATTAGAGCGGAAACTGAGAGCCAGGCCTTCTCGTCCAACATCAGTGTGCGACCTCACAAATGCGCTTCTGGAAGAATGGTCAAAAATTCCCATAAACACACTCCTAAA